TGTTGATGCTGATTATGCAGATTTTCTTGTGGATAGAAAAAGTACCTCAGGTATGACACATTTTCTTGGCTCATGTCTTGTGTCTTGGGCCACCAAAAAGCAAACTTTTGTGGCCTTATCTACTGCTGAAGCTGAGTATGTTGCTTCTGCCTCATGTTGTGCTCAATTGTTATGGATCAAACAATAATTAATGAATTTTAGAATTGATGTAGGTTGTATTCTCATCTTTTGTGATAACTCTAGTGCAATTAATATGACCAAGAACCCAGTTCATCACAAAAGAACTAAGCACATAGATGTTAGGCATCACTTTTTGAGGGATAACTATGAAAAGGGTTTGATCACTGTGGAATTTTGTACTACTAACAAGCAAATAGATGGCATCTTCACAAAAGCTCTAAGTAGAGATCACTTTGAAAGGAAATATTAGAATTAAGGATGATTAAGATTACCTAAAAGGAACCAGTTCTAACTCAAAAAAATTGATTACATAATTTGTGAATTTTGGACATAATTAGATTAGATTTTGCTCAGTCTCATACTTTCACTAGTATACTCTTGTGCCATGTACTAAAATATCTCATTAATATCTAATGATATTATCTTTATTCTCTTGGAAAATTCAGACTTACACAAGAGATTTCTCAGTGATAAACCTGGTTCATCAAGATTACTTGGTACGTACTCTTCACTTTACGTATTTTGAAATAATTATATTTGGATTATGATCAAAAAGAGAGTACCATTTAATCCTAACCTTCCTTGAGCTTATCCGTTACAAAATGAACCGGTTTCACCCAAAGAGAGTCTCAAAATGCAATAAGTGCCTAGATTCTAAGGAGAGTCCTCAACGTCTTTTCAAACTGACTCCCAGTTTGATTAGACTTCCGAGCTTCTAAAAAAGTTGCCATTACCCAATTAAATTCTCCCTATTTATATTGATTTAGCCTTAGCTATTTCTTCACTTCTAAATTTCCAGCCGCCAAATAATTCTCTCTATCTTCTAAATACACACATACTCATCTTCTCTCATCCTCTAACCATCAATAGCTAGCATCTCTGAAAATCCCTTATCACCGCCCAAAGAATCCATACCCACACCTTCAANGAAGAAACTGTTTCATATGAAACAGAGCAGGTAACATCTGGTCCAAAAATTACATCTGAGAGAATCTCTGAGGTTGCTGAAAATATGGAAAATAGGTCTGTTTTTGTAGGAACTATGGCTAGGGTTGAAACAACTGAATCTGGAAAATTGGGTGGTAAAAAAAAAGAAAAAAAAAGTGAGTGAGGGTGCTTAAGGTTATATGAGGGGAATGGGAAAAGGAGTGGCTGAATCTTCACCTATTCATATTGGTTTGACTGAAGAAACATGAGCTATGGTAGTATGGAGTGAGGAATCTGCTGGAGATGAAGAAAGTTTGAGAGAAAAATAGGGTAGTGGATCTGGAGAAGCTGCTGAGAGGTTGGTTAGATTGGGGAAGAATGTTCCAGAACATGTTCCATCAGTACAAAAATCCCTCGAAGACCTACTAAAATGCGTGTCTGACAGCTATAATCCAAAGTAGAAAGAAGAGTTCAGGAGTTAAAATCCCTAGAACTGCTAGGGCAAACAAGAAGAGAAAGGCTGCACCTTCTATCCCTATAGAGACTATTCTCACAAGAGGAAGAGCTACAAGGACTCAGAAGAAACAAAGTGAGGCTGAACTTGAAAAGGCCTTGAAAGAAAGTAAAAGAAAAGCTGTTGCAAAGGGAAAGAAGAAAGTGAGTGAGCTTGTTGAGGCAGTTGAAATTGAAGAGATGGACCTGGTCCTTCATGATAAAGAGGAGGCAAAAGAGGTGGAGGTCATGACTCCAAAGGCAAAGAAAATAAAGACTTCCAAAAAGAAGTTTCCTTCGAAGACAAAGTCTGCAGAGCCTTCTACCTTGGCAAAAAGAACCGAGTCTGCCATGAAGTCTAGAAAAGTGAAGTAGTGGATGAAGAAGAGTGTGAAGAAGAAGAGGAATCTGATGAAGAGCAGGACAAGATGGTTAAGTTTGGGAAAAGAAACATCTTGAAGGGTAAACTCTTCAAGGACTTGGAGGAGGAAGGCATCATGATACTGCTGGAAAAACTACAACTGTAGGGTTGGAAGGACATGGTCCTTCAGATGGATGGAAAGCTTGCCAGAACTGAGATTGTGGAGTTCATGGTAAATTGTGAGATAAAAAATAACAGAGTCACCAGTGTGGTAAAGGGGTGACTGTGATCTTTGATGATAAGAAATTGGGAGAAATTCTGGGAGTACCTGCTGAAGGGTACAATGATTACAAAAAGTTAAAATGGCCAAGCCTAGAAACCTCCCCACCTCACTTGCCATTACAAGGAAGTTTGCTGATAATGAGGAAGAGCTTCAGCCCAATGCTGTATACAAAAGTGAGATAAATCCACCCCACAAAGTGTTGTTTGAATTTTTTGACAAGGTTGTGCTTCTCAGGCAGGAAAGAAGGCACATTGCCATATTCATGGATGGACCTGGTCCTTATGGAATGCCTGGATAGTGGGAGGCAGATCAATTGGCCCGAGTTTATCATTCAGCTTCTTGATAGGGTTCTAACTAGCACCAAAACTCATACCATACCCTATAATTTCTTTCTCACAATTGTACTTGCTCACTTCAAGGTACCCCTAAAAATGGGATGTTAGAACAAGCAAGGATCGTTTTGGAGCAAACACCTTGATTTCTTATGAGTATGAAGTCCATGCTGCTGCCAAAGAACCTGGTTCATCCAATAAGGTGCTTGTGAACAGCAAAGTAAGAGCATTGGTGCAAGAGAGTGGGGCTAAGGATGCTGAGATTGAGATGCTGACTGAAGTAGAAACTGAGATGGATGCTCCCAGGATGAGCTTGCAAAGGAGAAGGAGAAGAATAAAGGAATTCTTCATGATATGTTACAGCTACTTCAGGCCAGAAACCAAGAACCTGGTCCTTCATAGCCTTGAAACCTTCCTAGCCTAGTTAGAAAACCAGTGACCCGGATGGGATTTCTTTTTGTTATTTTTGCTCATGATCCAGTATTTTTTTTTTATGCTTTGTGGATGTCTAGTATCAATGTTAATCAATTGTTTGTGTGCTTTAACTATTTATTGATGCTTCTTAGATAGCTAATATCATTAGATTGATATATGATGCTTGATTCCATGATTGCATTTGAAGTAGCCCCAGTGGCCATGAGTAATATCTATTAAAATCTGGTTATCTAATATAATTATACAACTTTTCGATGATGCCAAAAGGGGAAAGATAGGTTGTGCTTTTTACTTTGGACTGTGATGTATATAGCCTAATGAACCTGGTCCTTGATGATTTGTGACTTTAAAAATGGAAAGTGTTCTAACATTGTGTTGATGTTGAGCTGAGTTAAAACAAGTCTTTTGCTTATGAAAAGTATAAAGTTTGTCATTATCAAAAAGGGGTAATTTGTTGGCCTAAGTAAGTTTATTTTGATGATTGACAAAGGAACTCAAGCATGAACCAGGTTCATACAGAGTGTACACAAACACAGGCAGATTCGAGTACAAGGCATGCACGTAAAGGAGATAAGCTTAAGTGATTATATCTGATATCTCCTGAACGAAAATATTGCATAAGTGATAAGGAGAAGACCCCTTACTCGAAGAGAACTCTATCCTAGATAAGGGAGGAGTTAGAAGTTGAAGATAACCGAAACTCTTCCACCAAGGAAGAGTAAAGCATTAGACTTCAAGTTATTTCCTATTCAACTAACTCTATATATTGCATGATGTTCTCATTTTACAAGCACGCACAAACACTGAAGTTAAACATGAGTTGAGAGCAAAATAGCAAGACATTTTGCAAGCAATTCCTGTGTGATTCAAGTGGGCGAACCTGAAGCTACATGAACCGGATAGAAGAACCAGTTCCAAGTGTCTGTCTTTTATTCTAGTTTAATTGTAGTAGGACTTTTGAGTTGTACCTTTCAGCTTTATCTAGAAGCAATTGTACTAGGTACTTTGAGTGAAGTATTCAAGTTAGAGTTAACTTGAAGTTGTCGCAACATCTAGTGGCTAGTTGCCACAAAGAGTTAGAGGTAATCCTTAGGTTTACAAAGAGTTTTGTAAATGCTATTTTTGGCTGAGTGATTTAGTGAAGTGTTGGAAAAAATCCTACTAGGTAGTAGGTCATGGTTTTTTCACCTTTTGAGTCAGGTGTTTTCCACGTAAAAATATTTGTGTTCTTTACTTTCCGCATTTATTATTCTACAACAGTTGTATAAGGAACACATAGAAGAACCATGTCCTTCTATAATCTGTGCACGCAAAAAATTGGACACCACACAAATCACCCCTCTTATGTGGTATTGAAATACAAAACATCAATATGATTGAGTAAGAAATTTAGTATTACATTCATATCCGTTCATGGTCATTCATAGTTAGCGTTATGATGAAAATTGAAAGCATATAAAAAGTTGACTTTAAATATATTCACTGGTGCTCTTATTGATATCTTTCAAAGAATATGAGAACTGAAAATGGTTTTTATCATTTATGGGTGAAACTTATTTACCTTTATAAATTACAAATATTGTCAACTGTTATTCAATCTCATTTCCTTCAATTAACAGCAAGAGTTTGCTGTCAATCTCTGATAAAAATATCCCAAAAAACATTCACTGCAGAAAAAATTGAAATTAGCTACCACTATCAAAATATCCCAAAAATCGAAATTTCCGACTAAAAATTATTGTCGGAAATTTCTGACGGAAATATCAAAAAAATATCAAGTATGTATTTTTAAAAACTTTTCGACCATATTTCTGACCAAATCGGTCGCAACTTTTGACGAAATTTAGTTTGACTTGTTTGACTTCATTTTCGACTAATTTGGTCGGTAGTTTTTTTAAAAAAAGAAAAAATTAAAATGACAATTCCGACCGATTCGATCGGAATTTTTTTTAAAAAACCCTACCCGACCCCGTCCCCAAAAACAGAACTTCTCTTTTCTTCCTCCTTCTATCATCCTCCTCCTCTCTCCCTCTCATCCTTCTCCCTCGTCCCCAAAAACTTGCCCTTTAAATGTACTCTCTCTCTCTCTCTCTCTCTCTCTCTCTCTCTCTCTCTCTCTCTCTCTCTCTCTCTCTCTCTCTCATTTCCTCCTCCCTTCTCCCTCTCTTTCCTCCTCCCTTTTCCCCTTAATTATTTTTAATATGTTTTGCAGCAGTGGTTCTCCGCGCGGCAGCGGCAGCGGCTCAATCGACTTCTCCGATATTTTTTCCGTCAAGGTAAGTACTTCGTTGACATATATATCTTGTTTTCTTTGTTAAATTTTTAGTAATTTTCTATATATGAATATCCTAGCTAGTTGAAGTAGGTATGGTTGAAATTTTAGGGATTTTAATTTTTAATGATACATAATATAAAGCAAAAAGAGAAGAATATGTTGAATTAGGTATGGTTGAAATTTTGGGTTAAAGAATATGTTAGGAAATCCTAAATCTAATTTTGAATATGTTAAAAATATGTTGAATTAGTATTTGATTAACTTAATTATTTTTGAAATAAAAAAGGTGACATGTTGGCATAAAGTAATTGAGAACAACGATAGGAAAGAAGGAAAACAAACTCACTTTCACTTCCAACAGTAATTATATTAACTAGTTATAGTTTAAAGCTTTGGTGTAAAGTTTGTTGTACTAGGTTCATTGTTGCTTGTTAGTTTTATTATTAGAATGATATTAAATTTAAATTTTTTCAATTTTAACATTAAAATTAATTTGTAAATTTGAGAAATCATTAGTTAATTTGGATTATATGAACATTTGGTTTATTAATATTAGTTTGTTTACATAATAATTATGTTTTCATTTCAGGAAGATTATCATAAAAGGGTGGAAGAATGGCAACAAACTCAACCTCTTTCAACTCAACCAACACATGATGATATGGCTTCATTGTGGACAGAGGCAGCGGGTGGAGTAAACAAAGGCAGAGTTTACGGACTTGGAGTACGTCGACCTACAGGTCATCTAAACCCACTCTTAGCCAATTCTTCTTCTTCTCAAAATCAAGAATAGATGGAACATATGAGAAAAGAAATTCGTGATTTGAAGCAACACTTGGACTCCCAAACCCACTCTTAGCCATTTTCCAGTAGTGACACCCTCGTTGACAACACTTTTTACAAGCTGTCAAGAGGAGGCATTCGGACATTATTTGGATTTGTAGTGGAAAAAAGCATTTGAAAGTGAAGTTGTGTAATTTGGACATAAATTTCACTCGGAAAAAAGTTAAATTTTGTGAGTGAAACTATTAGATCTTGTGAAGTTGCATGCTTTCGTATCTTAATGCATTGCGCCAATAGTCATAAGTTGCTGTTCTTTTAGTCACAAACTGCTGTAATTTTAGAGGCATAGTTACATGCTTTTGCACCTCTAATTTATGCATTTATAATTTCACTTCCCTGAGATAATCCCTCTCGAATTTTTTTTTCATCTGATCCTTTTTCTCTCATCTTAATCATGAATCCTTTCTTCAATATTCCAAAATTCAGTGGGTGGTTCTATGCACTCAACAGAGTTCGAGTTCACCCTACTTTGAGTCAGAGTCCCCGTTATATGTGCCAAATTAGTGAGAATAATCTTGAAACTCACCCATGGCAATCCAAAGAGGGCCTAACGAGATGTTCTGCAAATTATTTTCCTTTGACACCAATTAGTTTCTTGGATAGAGCAGCTAAGGTTTTTAGAGACAGAACTTCAGTAGTGTATGGCTCTTCTGTTAAATACACTTGGGAACAGACTCATAACAGGTGTTTAAAGCTGGCTTCTGCTCTCTCTCAGTTGGGAATTTCTCGTGGGGATGTTGTAAGTTTCTTGTAACTAAAAGATTTCTGCTTATGACAGGAAATTTGTATGTGTAAGATAGTATTTTTCCTTATGCGCATTTCATAAAGAAAGGAAATTTGGATGATAATAACGAGAGCCTAAGAATTTGTGTTTGCCAAATAGGTTGTCCTTTTGTCATCAGCTTAACAGTCCATCTTATGAAGTGACAAGTTTCTCAATGGATGTCAATATAATCTTTAACCCCATCTAACTATTTTTTTTGGAACACTCTTAACAGTTTCATAGATTAGACAAATACTCTTTCATACTTGGAGTAGGAGAAAATTAGCTGGTTAAGGTAGTAATAGTTGACTAGGTTCACACTTTTTGTTCTTTAAAGTAAATCCATTCCCTTTACAAATATTAACTAGCTAGATTCATGTAGTGTTGTATCCTGCGTGTCTTATAGCCCGTTTGGCCAAGCTTCTTTTGAGGCAAAAACACTTTTTTTTGGTCCAAAATGCTTTTTTCTCAAATTAAGTTGTTTGGCCAAACTTTTGAAAGGAAAAAAAGTGCTTTTGAGAAGCAGAAGCAGTTTTGGAGAAGCAGAAAAAATAGCTTATCTCCAAAAGCACTTTTTTGAAAAACACTTTTGAAAAAAATACACTTAGAAGCAGTTTTTTAAAGCTTGGCCAAACACTAATTGCTGCTCAGGAGTACTTTTCAAATTAATTAGCCAAACACAAATTGCTTCTTGCCAAAAGTACTTCTTAGAAAAACACTTTTGAGAAAAAATAATTCTCAAAATAAGCTGATTTTTGCATCTTGGCCAAACGGGCTATTACTCTTGATCATGTGGGATATAAAAACAAGGGGAGTGGATCATTTTCCTCAATCTGAATTGGTGTTTGTCTTTGCGCATGTGAAGTTTTCCTTTTGACTTCTTTTGGTAGATGTTGCTCGTGAAAGTAGAACATTCCATGTTGTTGCCATCCCCATTTAGCTAGACGATCTGCCACTTCTAAGGTTCACTTGAACATTCCATGTTGTTGCCATCCCCATTTAGCTAGACGATCCGACAAAAAACAGTTCTTTGGTGCACTGCTCAACTGAAAATGCTTTATTTGATCAAATGTGTTTTGCTTATTCTTTTTCTTCATGGGTGTGTTTGGTACGAAGGAAAATATTTTTCGGAAAATGTTTTCCAATTTTCTAATATTTGGTTAACTTAAATATTTTGAAAAATATTTTACATATTTACTCTATCAAAAAGGATGTAAAACATTTTTCAAAACTCTTACCTTCTCTACCCTATTCCCCCATTAGTGTATGAAACTCTTCTGGCAACTGGAAACAATGATTTTGCTATAAGGTGGCCATTAAGTGAATTTGACCCTATTAGTGTTAACTATACTTCTGGGACAACACCACGGCCTATAGGAATTGTTTTCAATCACAGAGGTGCATATCTCAGTGCAATTGCTTCTTCTTTTATTCATGAGATGGACTCAATGCCTACATATCTTTACACACTACCAATGTTTCACTGCAACGGATGGTGCCTTGTTTGGGTTTTGGCTGCACTTGGTGGCACTAATATTTGCCTAAGACACGTCTCTACAAAGGACATATTTGATAACATATCCCTCCACAAGGTCACACATATGAGTGCAGCACCAACAGTCCTTAATATGATTGCAAATTCACCCCCAAGTGATCGAAAATCACTTTCTCACAAGGTTGACATAATGACAGGTGGTTCACCACCACCTCCGGATATCCTTTCCAAGATGGAGGAGTTAGGATTTTCCGTATCTCATCTATATGGGCTCACGGAAAATGGTCCCTGTACATCTTGCCTTTGGAAGCCAGAGTGGGAAACTTTACCTCCCGATAAAAGATATGTTCGTAAAGCAAGACAAGGAGTGCCACACTTTTCGATGCAGGAGGTTGATGTAAAAGATACTCCCACAATGGAGCGGGTGCCAAAAGATGGTAAGACTATGGGTGAAATTATGTTTAGGGGGAACACCGTGATGAGCGGATACTTAAAAGATCTTAAAGCAATAGAAGAAGCGTTTAGACGTGGATGGTTTCATAGTGGTGATCTTGCTGTGAGACATCCAGATGGATATATCGAAGTGAAGGATCGTATCAAGGATGTTATAATCTCGGGAGGTGTAAATATTAGCTCTGTTGAGGTGGAAAGAGTTTTGTGCAGTCATCCTGCTGTCCTTGAAGCAGCTGTAGTAGCAAGACCAGATGATCATTGGGGGCAGACACCTTGTGCATTTGTGAAGTTGAAGGAAGGATTCAACGTTGATGCTCAAGAAATAATCAGCTTCTGTCGAGATCATTTACCTCATTATATGGCACCTCGGACTGTCATTCTCTAAGATCTGCCAATAACTTCTACTGGAAAAGTACAAAAGCTTATCCTAAGGGAAAAAACAAAGGCTTTGGGCAGTCTTTCTTAAATCAAACAAAACAGCAGTCCTCTCTATGCATCATTTGAAGCTAAGAAATATTTCCACTGGTTTTACTGGTTTTTCAACTATGCTGATACAAGTGCTAAAAAGTCTTGTGCAGCTTTGTGTTATGACCACAAAACATCAGGTGTCATGCATGACCTAGTAAAACAAATCTTGAACGATGATAAATCAGACAGTAAAAAAGAAATCTATCAAAAGAGACACAAATATTTAACGTGGTTCGGCCAATTGACCTACCTTCACGGGCGGACATGAACAATCCACTATAATAAAAAAAATACAAAATATCGAGAGAACAACCTCACGAAGAGTCAAACACAAGTGACACACTAACACTTATCCCGTAAAGTTCTCCCCCTAAACACGACTTTCAAACCCCATATAACTACATTGTGGATGTTACTGAATGAGAATGAAGGATTCTCAATTTATAGAAGTCGAAATCTTTTCCTAAAAGAAAATGGACTAGCCAAATATGAGAGATTTATAATTTTCTTCTACAAAAAGGAAAACCCAATTATGGTAAATAGTTTGCCCTTTCGTGCAACAGATAGAAAAAACCAAATATAGTAAAAAAATTAAGACAACACCTAACAATTCTCCCCCTTGGCCTAAATTTCCTGACAAAATAATTTTAATCCATCTTCTTCACATAACCTTCAATATGTCGCATCTCCAAATCCCCACCACAAAATTTGTCTCAATGTGAGTAGTACTCCAATCAAATTTCTCAGACAAAAATCATGATTACCGTCAAATATGTTACGACTAGAACTAAACCCGCCAAGATGAACCTTGCTCTGATACCACTTGTTAGGACCGAAATTATCAGGTGTCATGCGGGAGCTAGTAAAGTAAACCTTGAACGACGATAAATCAGACAACAAAAGAGATATATACCAAAAGAGACACAAATATTTAACGTAGTTCAATCAATTGGCCTACGTCCATGGCGGAGATGAGCAATCCATATAAAAAGAGAGTACAAAATATTGAGAGAACAACCTCACGAAAAGACAAACACAAGTGACACACTAATACTTGTCCCGTAAAGTTCTCCTCCTAAACACGACTCTCAAACCCCTTACGACTACATTGTGCATGCTGTTGAATGAGAAGGAAGGATCCTCAATTTATAGAAGTCCAAACCTTTTCCTACAAGAAAAAATGACTACCAAAATATGGAAGAATTATAATTTTCTTCTACAAAAAGAAAAACTCAATTATGGTAAATATATTGTCCTTTCCTTCAAGAAATAGGAAAACCAAATATGGTAAGAAAATAAGGACAACCCCTAATAATTCTCCTCCTTAGTCTGAATTTTCTGACAAAATAAATCTGATCCACCTTCTTCACATAGCCTTCAACAGGTTGCATCTCCAAATCTCCACCACAAAGTTTGTATCAACGTGAATAGTACTCCAGTCAAATTTCTCAGACAAAATTACGATTACCGTCAAATAGGTTGCGGCTAGAACTAAACCCGCCAAGATGAACCTGTCTTGAACCTCGCTCTAATACCACTTGTTAGGACAAAAACAAAAGCAGGTGTCATGCAGAAGCTACCACATAATTTCTCTCATAAAAACATATAAATTATCATGTTTCCTCCATAGTTTTAACTTTATTTTGCAGAAATAATTATAGAAGAATTGTTGTGCGCAACATGAAAAAAGAAAAATAAATATTCAAGAAAAATACAACAAAGAAGTGTAAGATCGAGCTATGATTCATTACTGTCGTAATAATGCACCAAGTCTCGATTTGCCATGATGAAATCTAAACTTAGAATAACAAAATTCTCATCTCTACAAATTCAAATTCTATATTTGCAATGGAAATCTAGCATCAAATCGAGAATTCGAATTCTCATATCTGCAAATGCAAAATCTAGATTTGCCATGGAAATCTAGCACCAAATCGAGAAGTCATCACGAAATTTTCTTATATAAAAAGATGGTGCCCGATCAGAGTAGAGAGGGCAGTAGATAGAAAACTTAGAGCTAGATGTCTGAATCCAATTTCTTAATAAGCTTCTCTATTTTATTTCTTTCACTAGTATCGAGTTATCTTTTCTTTTAAATCACAATAGTGGTTCAGTTGTTGTTTCTAAATAAATTTCAGTGTAGGAAATTACTCTAG